GGTGAACGGGGTCACTCTGAGACACTGCAGCGTGTCGGGGGTGAACGGGCTCACTCTGAGACACTGCAGCGTGTCAGGGGGTGAACGCAAACAATGAGGTAATGCAGTGTGTGAGTGTCAAACAACAAGAAAGTGCAGTTTAATTGTTATAGAGTAGCAGCACAACTCACAATTTTAGTACAGCCAGGTTGGCTTCCAGGTCGTAGGCATTCTCCCGGGCCTGTGTCTCCACATAGCGCTCCAGTGTGGACAGATTCTCTGGGTTATACCTGTGCAGAACAGACTCAGTTAGAGGAAGCACTAGCTGGCCGTCACCAGCACTGTGCCCAGGAAGAACTGGCCAGCTTTTGTTTTTTGTCCCCCCAAGATGTAATGAAATTGCAGATGCAACTTAAGTTTCATTGTACAATGTTATGGCTGCAGGAATAAAAGAGCTCCGTTGTCTGTTGGTGTTTATTTTGTGCTGCAAAAGACGGCTGCTGCCCCTTCTGATATATCGTTTCAAACTGCTATAAAGGGGGTGCTTGTCTGTGGCCCTTTCACCCCTTGCAATCAGCTGAGTTTGCGAAAATGCAGCTCCAAAGACCACAGCCGGACGTACTGACCCAGCACAGCGTCTCTCCCCCCTCCTGCCGCTCCACCCATCACCCCGGCGACGATACAAGTCGCTGAGCACACAGGCCACTGATCGAAATGATTTCGCTAACAGAATAAGTTCTTCCCGTGACTAAGGAATAAGAGAAGCCGACCTGTGAAAAAGTACGTCTCTCGCCTTTCGTTAAAATAAAAACCAGAGTTCTGTTTGGCGCAAAACAAGCCCCGAGTTTAAAAGATAATTTAAAAGAGTTTAAAAGATAATCATAGGTTACTAGTTTATTAAATGTTGGCAGTTTTCCTCATCGACCCATTAAATAACAAAGCACGGTGTAATCCAACAGTGTGTTAGGAAGTGATGAGACCAGTCAGTTTGAAAGAAACCCAATTTACCAACACATCTAATACAGAATAATGGAAGACTCTGCTACACCAACCTGTCGATGCCGCGTAGCAGTTTTCCTACGTTGGCTCGCATTTGTTCGAACGTCGAGGCCATATCTCGCTTCCTGGTGATGGGCTGTGCTGGTACCAAAGCTCCCAGATAGGTTCGGTCCGAACCTAGATACACACCACACGTGGGACCGCCGAGCAGAAAAAAGGAAGAGATCGGACCGAGAAACCCGTGACACCGGAACTGTCCCTGGTCACGTGAGAAGGGCGACCTCTCCCCTCGC